AACCGTGGAGCTGCGCATACACCCGAAACCCCAGAGATCTACATCTCCTTTTTTTCTTTTTTTCCTTTCACATTTTTTCTTTTTGTTGGTTTGTTTGTATTCTCTCTCTATCTGTCTCTTTATATTTTTCTTTGTTTGTCTCCTCTCTATCTTTATGTTTGTCTATCTGTCTCTCTGTCTGTCTCTCTAACTCTCTATCTCTACACGCTGCTACTGCTACTACTGTTGCTGCTGCTGCTGCACTTGTTGTTACTGCCGCAGCTGCAGCAGCAGCAGCAGCAGCTGCTGCTGCTGCTGCTGCTGCAGGCGCAGTTGCCGCATCGAAACAAATTTCCAGTGTCTGTACACCCGGCGGCTTAAAGCTAAAATTAATTTTTATAAAATCACCAAATATCGCCAACAGCAAACTTCGCTGTTGCTGCAGCAAATGCTGCTGCAGTTCTTGCTGCTGCATTTGTTGCTGCTGCATTTGTTGCTGCTGCAGTCGTTGCTGCTGCAGTCGTTGCTGCTGCAGTCGTTGCTGCTGCAGTCGTTGCTGCTGCAGTTGTTGCTGCTGCAGTCGTTGCTGCTGCATCTGTTGCTGCAGTTCCTGCAGCATATTTCGCTGCTGCTGCTGCTGCTGCGGTCCTCTTAGGGCTTAGCTTCCCCAGTAGCAGCAGCACCAGCAGCTGCAGCAATAACCGCAGCAGCAGCAGCAGCAGCAGCAGCTGCTGCTGCTGCTGCTGCATAGAGAATTCAAACCGCGTTAAAACAGAATCGTGTGGAAATACCACTAAAATATCTGCAAATGCTCGCAGCAGCGGCAGCAGCAGCAGCGGCAGCAGCAGCAGGGGCAGCAGCAGCAGCAGCGGCAGCAGCAGCTGCTGCTGCTTTTGCTACTTTTGCTGCCCTTGCTGCTGTGAGTGATGCTGTTGCCGTTGCCAGCATTCTTACTTTTGCTGCTGTTGCCGATGCTGCTGTCGCTGTTGCTGCTGCTTCTGTTGCTGGTGTTGTTGCTGCAGCAGCTGCTGCTGCTGCTGCTGTTGCTGCTGTTGCTGCTGCTGCTGCTGCTGCTGCTGCTGGCTAGAAAGGTAGTTTTGGCATTCTGAGGCCGAATATTTTTCCTACTTTATTGGCGATGGTCCACAGCAGCAGAAATGCAGCAGAGTGCAGCAGCAGCAGCGGCAGCTCGAGGCTGAGAGAAGACAGCAGCAAGGGTTTATATAGAGGAGATGTATGTTCTATTGCTGCTGCTGCTGCTGCTGCTGTTGCTGCTGTTGCTGCTGCTGTTGATGGGGCTGCTGATGCAGCAAAAGAAGAACCAACTGCCTCATGTGCTGCAGCAGCACGAATGTCGTCGTGCTGCAGCATCAGCAGCAACTGCTGCTGCTGCTGCT